TCATTCAAATTTAGAACATAGATCATACATGTTAGGATACATGTCCCCGACCGTCCGTGAGTTCCTGAGTCTGTCCGTCCGACCGTCCGTCTGTCCGTGCATCAGTCTATCCAACATCATATTTCAGAATCCTGTGGACCGATTCCGTTCAATCTTTGCATGTGCCTAGTACCTTATGTGGGACATATGCACATGCAGTGGTTTAGCGATTCGATTCAAAATGGCCGACTGGCAGCCATCTTGTTTTTTGAAAATGTTGTATTTTGGACATGCTTTGTCAGTTTTCATTCAAACTTGGTACATAGATTATACATGTTAGGATACATGTCCATGATGATTTATTTCACAATTAGATCAAAGATGGCCGATTGGCAGGCATCTTGTTTTTTGAAAATGTCGTATTTTGGACATGCTTTGTCAGTTTTCATTCAAATTTAGTACATAGATCATACATGTTAGGATAGATGTCCCCGACCGTCCGTGAGTTCCTGAGTCTGTTCGTCCGACCGTCCGTGTGTCTGTCTGTCCGTGCGTCAGTCTATCTATGTTGTATTTTGGACGTGCTCTGTCAGTTTTCATTCAAATTTGGCACATACATGTACTTTATACATGTTAGGATGCATGTCCATGACAATTTGTTTCAAAATCTGGTCAAGAATGGCCGATTGACAGCCATTTGACTTTTTGGCCTTACTACTATATTTCCACAATTTATGTACCATTTTCATTCGTATTTGGCACATACATCATATATATTACGGTAGTGTGTTTCATAATCAGATCAAAGATGGCTGAATAACGGCTGTTTTTATTTTGGCCATATTACTATGACACGAAACACGTGTTTTGATGTAAATAAACAATCTGTTATATACGCCACTTGGAACTCAAGTTTCAAGGACATGCTCGCGACAACCCCTCCGCTTTAATATGACGAGCACAAAGAGAACTTAACGGGGACTGTGTCATTTTCAATGACTTGTTTAGAATTGAAGTAGCAAATTTAAAAAGTCTTTCACAATCAATGGTATGTTAGTACTGCACATGTACTGTCTACTGTGAAGTACTTTTTTTTCTTTGAAGTTATTTTCGCTTAAGAGATGAATCAGTGAAAATAAAATCCACTGAAAATACCTTTTTTCCTATATTTCACATTCAACTCATTAAAAATCGGTGAAAATAAACTGTGTACAAAACTCCCAAAATATCTTTTCAACAAAAATTAATTCTAGCTATAAAAGTATTTTACAGTAATCAGAAACAGTAGTGATCAGGTGTGTGTTTTGAATCTCCATGTACATGTCATTTTCACAGCCATTACAAGAATATCCAAGCACCTCATGTGAGGTAAGCATTCTATATTGGAATGTCACTGTCTCCTTCACAGCATGGCTTGTATCATGTATCCTGATAAATCCTATACAACATCTATTGTATGCAGTTTACTATTCTCATCTCTCATTTATCTGTCACGCTGAACTATCATCTTTTGAATACTGAATTCACGCCCGCAACATATCAAACTGCATAACATTTATTTATCTACATTTATTTATTTATTTATTTATTTATTTATTTATTTATTTATTTATTTATTTATTTATTTATTTATTTATTTATTTATTTATTTATTTATTTATTTATTTATCTATCTATTTATCTACATTTATTTATATTTATAAAATCAAGCAAGGAAGACAATTTATGTACATTTGGTTTAAGATTAACTGTGGAAAAATGCAGAAAAAAATTAGAAATTGTTGCAATGATATTTTCCTGGTAGGATTTTGATGCGACATTTTAAGGTTTTTGACTATCATTTCTCTGTTTATTTTGGATCAAATTGTGAACTGCTTACAAGTGCTGATTATTTGTAAATCTATACAGGTTTGTATTGTGATAGGTGACAATAGTTGACTTGTTATTAATTTGGTTACTGTATGTAGTTCATCTCATCATACATAGATGTACCGGTACTATAATTATGTACCATATTTATCTGAACGATTGCCAACCGCAAAAGAGTGCCCATAGGTGATGTTTCTACTCCTGGGCAATCTTTTGGTGTCGCAAAAAACGAACACAGTAATAAAAATAATTATTTTTCAAGAGCACAAATTAATAAAAATACATAGAGCACAAATTAAAAGGATACCAATTTAATTTTTTTGGAACACTGAAAATTAATAGAAAATATATTTTTATATATTTTTTGAATTGGGCATGCAAATTTTCATGGTGAAGTTCAAACTACTGTATGAGATAACTCATCTGTGGACATAAAAACAGTTGATTGTACAAACAATGTTAAGAAAAAAGTGTCATAATGTAGCTCTGGGTGATGTTTTGGTTCCAGTGATCTCCTAAAATATGAGCCATTATCTAAAACATCACCCAGGTGATCTTTCAGATAAATATGGTATAGAACTATCAAAAAAACAAATTCTGTAAATTTAACTGATCTTTAGCTTTTTATGTCTCATCACACATCTCTTGTAGTGCTCTCTGTTTTAAAAAAATTCAAATAAATACTTCAGTTTTATAGGAATATGTTTATCAGATTGAGAATTAGTCAGTCTTATAATCACATGTTGAGTCTTGAGTTGGAATGCCGATTTCTACTTACATTCAGGTACCAGTTGACAGAAGAGAAAGGCGACAAGGTGATTTAGAGTTTTGGGATAATATCAGAGCTCATCTTAGATTGTCTGTGGTTGATCAGAATACAAGGTTTTGTACAGCCTCCATCAAGCAAGAAGTGGAAACACAGGAATTGGAATATGCAGTAAGTATTTGTGAAATGATATCAAGTGTACCTCGCAGTGTACATGTAAGCCAACTCAATAACCCTGCTCATAAAACCTGTGTGGTATATTGTTGGTATCTGTGTCAGTGCTAGGACATGACAAGCATAGCAACTGTTATGTTATTAGCCACACAAAATTATCATTTTGCATACAAAAAATTAAAAAACTTGAATTGTATATGTTGAAAATCTATTATAATATAATGTATATATTCCGTTATATAGATATCCCACTTTATAGTGGATATTATTTCCTTACACCATATGTATTTAATATGCAGATTTCAAGTAGATTCAACTAAATTTGTTTAAAATTAATTCTAATAGTGATGATTTATTACAATAATAAGTCCCCCATAGCGTTCAGTAATCTCCCTAGAAAAACATCATAGAGTATCGGATAATTAGCATAACAATACCATATTTTAATTAATTCTATTGTATTCATTGTTATGCTAAATAAAATCTATTGCTCGTCCAAAATTAAACAGTTCGAAACCCTACTCTTTAATGCCCTGGAGAGAACCCTGTGCATCATATTGAGATGTGATGATAATGTTCGCCTTGCACATTATCTTGCCATAGATCTGTCTTCTCACCCCATATGATGCTGTAGAGGATTTATTATTGTTTAAATATACAAGTCCATGTATTCACCGTGCCTTGTATCCAGTGGTGATACTTACTTTTATAGACATGTTCATTGCAGTAAAAAGCTATAGCTTTGCATTTATGTAAAATACTTTATCACAATAAATCACCAATACTTGTACGGTCAGCTTATATAAGATTTGTGTCTTATAGATGTTGTTTTCTGAGAATTGCTTGCTTTACCTTTAGCTCAAAGATGATAACATGAGAATTTTAATTTTTATTTATTATTTCAAATTTCATGCCTTGAATCTTTTTCTTCAATATTCCCACCATACAAGAGTTCTATTTAATATCTTTGAATATCCAAATTGTCCTGTCAACATTTTTGTGCAATATTTTGCACATTCTTCTGTGTTTTTCTATAATTTAGTTGTTAATTTTGAAATAGATGAACAAAATTTCCCATAACAGATTTTTGAACATTTTTGTTTTGGTGAAAATTGACAGTGTTCATAGACTGTAATTGATGTTCTTTTGTTTTACAGGAAGCTTTGAGTCAATCTTCAACTCAGTCATCTGGTGCTAGAAGTGGACTTCCACGATTACCAAGAAGAAATTATTCTTCCACTGCCATCAATAAACGAGCATATCTACACGACACTAGTATCACCATACCATTTTTAGATCAACAAGATGAAATTGAACGATATCAGGAAATTCGTGTTGGTCTGGTAAGTAAAATAAAATTATCATAAAATAATATAATGAATATTTTTATATAAGTTATGTAATTTGAAATAAAGTCTTAAAATACTCATCTGACTTATGCCTATAGTACTCAGCTCATTTATGGTGGTGGCTCCTTTGAAAATGTCACTTTCCATTCACAGACTCAATGGGCAGGCCAATTCCACTGGCCGAGATTCATTCACTAACGATTGCGACTTCAGGGTAACCTTGGTTAAGGTCCGCAGGCGCTTGTGTTCTCTACCGGGCCTGGTTGACACCAGGGTTGAGCATTACAAATTGCCATTTGATAGAGAGATGGCCACACAGCCCTGTCATGTAGTCCCAAACATGAATAGGACTTCTGTGGCAAAATGCACTATGTGTCGTCACTAGCACTTGCACTTTGCACATACAGAAAAAAAGTCAGGAGAGACAACAGTGACACTCAATGATCGGAACTGTCGCCTGGCACAAAAAAAATATTTGAAAAAAAAAAAAATTGCAAAATGAGTTCTGTCACCATTAATTTCAATTACACTTTTACATTGAAGAAACAAAAATGGTCCAAAAAAATATGCACAATTTTTACAATGTTATTCACATATCAGAATTTACGATGTAAAAATTGTTATTATCTGTGGGTAAACAGATGTAGTCAAAGCTTTTTCATCATTAATTTGTTGTCTAATGAAATTCCACGTCCTAACCAATCAGAATGCTGTGTTCTACTGACACACTTCTCCCGAAATTCCCAAAGGCATTCTTGTAACACAATGTGGAAGTGAACTTGTGATGTCAAAGTATGATCAGTGGGCATTGGCGACAGCATGATTTTTTTTAAAAAAACTGGTGGTAACCAATTTTTGAAATGTAAACTTTGGAAAACAAATTCACAATTGTTAACAGGTCAATGTTGAAATGTTTATTTGTTCAGCCTATATTCATTATCAGTATTTGAAAAAGTCGCACATTCAATGTTAGGACATGACTTATAAATAAGTTTCCCCAATTAAGTAATCACCCCCAATAAGTAAGGATCTGCACTAAGTTGGCAGAAACTTCTGTGATTTTTACAAACCATGTTACTCTAAACAGCGTCCGGATTACTTTCGGAAATTCCGTCGCGTTTCGGAAAGTTTTAATTTTCAAAACTT